ATGATGAACATGCCTGGAATCAGAGAGCGAGGCTAGATCCTTTCCTTCCTGTGACAGGCAATTCAATAACCCTCCAGCTGAGTAATGTCACCAAATTACCTTTTACTTTATAATACAAGATAAACATGTGTAAGTTCGTGATTTCAGTAACTGTCAGTCATAGAATCCCACACTGGTTTGGGTTGAAGGGCCCTTAAAGCTCATCCAGTTCCAACCCCCTGCAAGGGGCTGGGACACCTTCCACTAGAGCAGGTTGCTCCAAGCCCCTGTGTCCAAGCTGGCCTTCAACACAGCCCCACTAAAGCTGGATCACTTCAAGCAACATGTGTAAACAAGTAGTGTGTGAGCAGCAACCATAAAGCTTCCTGAGACATCCTCCATCCACTGGAAGTTATCCCTCCCCTGGAACACCCATGCTGGATTTCTCCCCACTTCACTAGAAGAAAACCAAGCAAGCTGGAATGTCACAGTTCTGATCTCGTTCCAGGGAGGAATTTTTCTGAGGAGTTCGTGGCAAAGTTGGATGCAAGACCAGGAAATAGAAGAATCCAAAAACTGAGGTGAACTTACTCGAATATTTTCCTAACGTTTTTGGCACCAGGAAGCTTGGCTTAGAGACTCTTAATCTTGGCAGGAGACTGTGCCAGTTTTCAGGGAGTTGTGGCTGGAATTATTAATTTAATAGAAGCAGTTTCCACCTACACTATGAACATAGTTGGGTTCATATACCCATGTCCTTAAAGCAGCCCTTGCAACATCTCCCCCTGCCACTGTAGAAGGCAACAGTAAAGGGAAGGAGCAGCCTTCGTTTGAAATTACTGCTGGAAGGGGGTTCGAGCTAAGCTGCCCGACTTCACACACAGACCAGGCAGCACTCCTCTATTCCTGCTCTTTCTAGCTGACCTGTGCAGAGAACTGCTTTTAGCTGGGGCAGAAACATCTTAAACTACCCCAGATCACTCCAGAGGAGGGCATCTGGTCAGGCTTTAGCATCTTTGTTTCCTTCGCAATCCACCTCAGGAAAATGACTGCATAACTAACAGGGACACCTTCCCAAGCATACTTCTCCCTCTGCACCCCCTTCCCTGGAATGGTATTAAATAAAAAGGCAAACCAAAAGAAGATGACCCCAAAAAATCTCTTCTCAACAGGCTTTGCTGACAGAAGGCACGAGGAGAACCGAGCTGCTCTTCCCTCTGAAGATGCAACAGGAAAACGCCGTGACAGGCAGGAACCGCAGCCCCTGTTGAGAGGCAGAGCATCATCTTGGCTGGAAAGCTGCAGCTTGCCAAAGGCATTCAGCAGCAAACAATACTGCTGAGCTGGGAACAGGAATTCCTGGCAGCATTCCTGGCAGCTGATGCCTCCGCAGGCGGAAGTGATTCTGGATCAAATACTTCCTTTACGGCTGATAACATGCTCCTACCACTTGCAATGCCAAAGTTTAAGAGATAAGGAGAGGGAAAGGATCTTCCATGCCCTGTAATCCAATCCTGTTCCGATTGGCTTATATTTAGAAGGCAGCTACATGAATGCAAACACAGAGAGACAAGAGACCTACTGTCTGAAGGGATTGAGTCCGTGACAGATGCAAGAGTGCTGAAATGCCTGACAGCACTTTTCCTTTAGCAATATGTTTTACAGGGAGCAAGGAATATTACCTGGGAAGGAGGAAGCTGATCAGCTCTCCATATTCAACTACTAAAACCTACTCAAATAAAGTCTTAATTCTTCAAAGGGTAAAACAAAGTATTTCTAGCAGGAAGTAGAGATGTTACAGAATACCTAAGCCCTGTTTCTTCTGTTCATATTAATGGCACACAGCACTAAGTAAAATACAATCACATTTGCACCATGCTGGGGAGAGAATCACTCTACTCTGTATAACTCAGTGACACGGGGAGGTGTTGAAATAGTTCCATTCCTACATATTAACAAGGCCTAAAGCTCACTGATGAAAGGCAGCGAAACTACATGACAACTGCTGCACTGAGATATCCAAATCCCATGTGATTGAGTTCACCTCAACAGCTCTACAGCTACAGCATAAAACCTGGAACACGCCATCAGGCTGGCTCAGGGTTCAGCTCCAACTCATATCCTGTCAGGAAGGTGCTGTGCTGTTTAGTGTGTGCACCTCAGCTTCATGCTGGAACAACTCGAGCCCCTAAGAAGGCAACTCCGAGACCAGAAATCATGCTTAATTTAATAAACTGCCTTAGAAACTGACTGTGAACTTATTTTACATTAGGATGACTTAGGCACTCATGAAGTTAAATGAATAGTCAGCCCTTCTGCCTTCACATAAGAGCTGGTAGAGATGCTGAGGACTTCCAGCTCCAAACCTCAGTGCTTTGTGTATTAATGAATTGAGTTTTAATGTTCCAGAGAGGGAAAGGCATCACTGAGAGGTTTTAGCTAAGGTCTGTGTGAAGGCAGCAGAGCTTAGAGAGAAGGAAAGCGACAGAACTGACCTAACTGATGCTGAGTGATCCCAATCCAGCCGTGGCCTCACATGGAATTGACCAGGTTGGAAAAGACCTTTAAGATCATCAAGGCATGTTGTTTGGGACACCCAGACGACAGTGAAGCTCAACCACAGTTCTGCTCCTGCTAATGGGATTCTTACACATTTATCCAATGTTAGACTAAGAGAAATCTATTATGCAGGCAGTGGCTTTTCATTGTAAGATTAAAAATCAATGACGTAGCCTTAAAAACTCAATGCAGTCAGAAATTTAAGGTATTTCAGCAAAACAGCAGTGAATTTCAGGCACTGATGCAATCTGTAAAGCCTCTCCTGTAACTACAGCTTTGACATCAACTACCTGTGCATGGTAAACCAGCAATTTCCTGCCCATGCAACATGTGTCTCACTGGCCTGATGCAGATGAGGTTAAACCACATTGAAAGGCTGTTGAAAGCAGAAGAGCAGCATATTTCTGCAAAGAAAAAGCATCCCCAAAAGCACCTAGTTTTGTTCACATGGTGCTATGGTAAGAAGAGAACGAATCCTTTTTCACACATCTCAGAAAGTTAACTTAGAATGAGCTCATGAGGTGAGGTGCCAGGATATTAATACCGATTGCGCCATGAGACCATCTTCGAAGTGACATCAACAGTTACAAAACAAGCTGAAATCCAGCCAGGCTCTTAACAGGCAGCATTACACAATACCTGCTAATGCTGCACTGCAACTCTGCACAGTTTGAACAGTGAAAAGATTTTGAAAGGAGTTTCCACCCACTACCCCTCAGATGCAACTTGGCAATTCACTATTAGGTGCCAAGCTGTCACTTACTAGTCACTTCAGCCTACTGCTATTCTCTGGCTCCCTTCTTAGCACCAAGGAGCCACCAATGAATGCCTCTTAATTCACATGTATGAGCCCTAGATGAAGCTATTTTGAAATCTGTAGACTAATACTGCTGTTGTATTAATAGCTTGCATTTATTATACCCTTAACACTGCTCTTCTACAAAGGAAATACTGTAATGTCCTACACTTTCTGTATTTCAGGAGCAAAGCTCTGTTCTTAGGATGTTTTTATCCATATCAAATGATCATTACAGAAATCTTGCTTAGAAAAAGGAAGGGACAAGAGGCACAGAGCCAGTACTTGGAGCCTGATTCACCTTATTTAAGCATATGCTTTGCTTTACGTACCTAAACAGTGAAGTGTATATGATTTTTCAGAGGTGGGAGTGGTGGAAACAGAGCAAGGACCACCACCCCCCCCACCCCAGCGCACACAACCACACTTTGTCTTTAAAATGCTTCAAATGCTGGTGCCACGCAGGGGTTGTGATCTCTCTGTAGCTTGCTTGTACCTCTGACTGATGGAAAGGAAAACTCACGATGCAAGAGAGATCTGTATGGACATAGAAACCTGCTTGAGACCTCCTCCGACATCAAACTTCTCTCCAAAATGACTGAAAATGTAGTGGTGCCAAACCAGAAAACTACCAGGGGACCAAAGCCAGGGACACAGAGTAGTCAACCTATTCCTGGACACTGAAAATAAACACAGGTTTGCTCCAGAAAACTGAGGACTGCTCCTGTTTGTGTCAGCGTCTTTCAGAGACCTCCTAAGAACTGAGCTCTTCTGCTGGTGTCCTCTTCATTTTGCCTCAGTTGCTTTGCCTTTGTGTGCATGTGTGTCTGCCAGCCTATGCTCAATAGAATGGACCTACTTAGAGCCACTAAGTGTGAATAATAGTAGATACAACCGCTGACTAGGACCCAGACTCCTTCTCAGTTGGAATTTCATAGAGACAGAATGATCGGATGCGTAACTCTGCTTGCAGAACTGTCAAGTAGAGAAACATGAAAGGCTGTAAATAATTCATTCTCTATTCCAGGAAATGTTTTACAAATGAGAAGGTTGTAACCTCTTTTTGGCTCCAAGGCTGGCAAACGCTGGAGGCATCCCTGCTCCTCCAAGTGCAGAACAAGATGTGCCCTGTTCAGGAGAAACCAGCCGTGATTCTTGGTTCTCAGCCCTCCCCAGTACTGCCCAGCAAAAAGTGCTTCTGATGGATGGATCACACTTCTAGAAGTGCAACTCAGGCTGACTAACAATTGCTTGGATTCTGATGACACAGCTGCACAACGCAGAGCCAAGATAACATGAAGAGAAAGGATAAAATGGAATGCTTTCTATTCACACCATTGTTTAAAGACACACACACATAAACTGGAACCACGCATGCAGTTATTGACATGACTCCATCATGAGTGTTTGATGCAGTCTTCAGTGATACCAGTCAAATCCAGTGGAAATAACACCACTCCAGCCTCAAAGGGGTGGCAACACGGACAGATGCTGGCTCAGTACATGGAAGCACGTCCAAAGCAAGAGACCCTATTCCTTTAACTTCTCATCACTAAACAACAATCTAAACCAACCTTAGTGGAGGTCCCTCCTCTGCCTTCCCCAGCAGGTTAGTTGGCAGCCAAACCCAGGGATGTTTTGTATATAAAAGAAGGCTGAAACTCACCTGGATGTTGCCGAAATCCACGTTTTCATAATGGAAATGTGCACATTCAGCCATCTTTGGGAAGTGACCCTTTGTAAAGGATAACCTGAAGCACATCAAAAGCACCCCATCAGATAGATGCAAATCACTGAACCAAGCGTCAAGTACCATTCCAAAATGCCATTACTAACAGAAAACAACACTTCCCACTTTCTCATCCAAAAGCAAAGGGAACAGAGGGATTTGTTGATGTGATGCACCAAAAGAGTGGAGAAAGGAATCAAGTGAGAAAGGAAAACTAAAGTGCAAAGTGGCTTTTAGCACGGCATCCTTAAAGCACTGTGGCAGCTCATCCACACCAAAGGCCACATCTTGAAGGACAGGCACAGGGACAAGCTGCTCTACCTTTACAAAAGCTTTTGTGCAGTGCAAATACACAGCCTTACACGAGACACATAGGAAAGGAGAGCTTTACCTGTGAAAGGCATCACAGCCCATCAGTCCCGGGTTGATGTATCTGAGGGTGCAGAACAAACGCTATTTATCCTTTGCCTTTTTCAATTTCCAAAGTGAGCCATAATTATTTCCAAGTGTCTCCAGTTACAATGAGGGCTGACGGGGAGATCCTCTGGCTCTGCAACATGCTCTTGCTTCTGCTGAAGCTATTATAGACTCCTATAGATATTGCTGGTGGTGAGCCAATGAGATCGTCATTATCTAGCTCTCTCTTCCCACGGGAATATAAGTGGGAAGTGAGATGCAGCAGCTGGCTGCTCAGCACTAGAACAAAGAGCCATTGCCCCTACAGCATCAGAGGTGAGCTGAAGGCACAGAGCAATCGATGCTGGGGAGTTGTGGTCCTCCAGTCAGCATTCATAGCAAAGACCTATTGACTGCTTCTGATCCCATTTGCAGGTTAGAGGTTTGAAACCTCAGCTGCAAGCAGAATTGATTGCTTTAGATTCTCTGGGGGAGAATGAGACAGAGAAGGACAGTGCAAGACCAAGGGAAAAATAAATCTGGGAGATCAGAGAAGAAAAAATACCCCTAAAACTGTGCAAACCCATTCAGAGGAAGATGTACAGGGCAGAACGTAAGGAAAGAAAAAGAGAAAATAAATATATCTAGGCCACCCACTTGTCCTGGGTTAGCTTCCCAGAGCACGGGAAGAGAGGGTAGATTCTCTCATTGATACATTGCCTGAGATCCTCTTTAGGGTTTTTAATGTATATTTTTCAGTTATTATTATTAATTAGTTTCAGGAAGAAAATGCTAAGTCCAAAAACTCTAAAAAGCTTTGCCTCTGTGGCCACAAACAGGAAAGAGAGCCACCAAAGCCTCTCACATCCCCACTCTCCATCGGCTCTAATTTACTTTGTCCACATGGATCTTGGTGGCTCTGATGAAGATACTATCCCAAATTGTTCCCGAATGCCCTCTCTGGGATATCAGAACTAGAAGCCAAGCAAGGACAGGAAAATCAAAGGACACTGCTCTTACTTTTTCACATTCTTCACTTTCATACTGGCTGTGCTGCCGCAGGTCCGGAGCGCCAGCTCCCCTGGAATGTCGGGAATATCAGCGCCTCTTGCCTGTAAAACAGGAGGAAATAAAAACAAGGAACTTCAAATACAATTGCATGCTAAGATCATAGTTTTACATTTATCTACAAACACAGCTAAAATCAATCTGCTACAGGTTGTATTTCTGCCCTTTGAATGAGGAAAAGGGAACCTCAGGATTACGACCTAGTAGGGGATCATCTCTTCCTGAACCCAGCTGCAGAATCTTCCCAAATCTTAGTAATAACTGCAAGTGCTAGTATTTCATTCATTGCTACTGCTGGTGTCTAAAGACGTTTTCAGAGATAGGAGTCAGACATCCATCCCTAAACTCCATCCTCAGGCTCCTCATTAAGTACCTGCCTTTCCAAACACTTGGGTTCAGGCAGAGGCACTGGAGGAAGCTGGAGAGCTCATGCAGTGGGAAATCAAGTTAATGACAGAGCTGCTTAGATGTGGGAGGTGAACATTTAAAGGAGGTGTTTGAAGCTACTGGTGTAAGTGCATATTAACATTCCTTAATCACTAAAATTCGTTGACTTTCAAGAGGACAGAACTGCAAACTCTCTCTTCTCATTTGTTCTGTCATGCTTTCCCATCGTCTCTCTCCTCCAGCTGCATTCACCGTCCCAGGGGGCTCTGAAACACTTGTGTTTCTGCTGGGCTGTACCAGGCCCTGAGCTCTAGAGGAATCAGGGGGTTTAGATGAGGCTTTTATGAAGAGAGCAGTGATCAAATGGGAGGAGAAAAACATGGTTCCTGATGCTGGCCAGAGACAGTCATTAGTGATGTGGGTGACACTGGTTGAAGGAGCTTTTCTCTGCTTTATACAATTAATAATGCGGAAGAAGGGCACCTCAGTATTTCTTCTCCTACAGGCCTGCAATGAAGAAGTATTACATCAAATCCCTTAGGAGTAAAGAGATGACTTCCCTGATCCACATCAGTACCAATGCTTCCAACCTGGTCTGCCAAAGATCTCTGAACAGAGATGCTCAGTCCAAGAGCTGCTGCATGTAAAATATGGAACCAACTCGGTCCTCACCCCAAAACTTCAGAGTCAGACAACGACAGCTCCAGCCAGCAGCCCACATACGGGATGAACAACGAGGGAATACTTCTTATCCCTGCCCCTTAAGCTTTCCCCTTAGCTTGACATGGCTCAAATTTACACATGCTTCACCACATCAGAAAAGCTGCAGCAAATGACTCAAAATCATTCCCTTCGTCTATATTCATTAATTGAATACTGTCTATATTCATTAATTTAATATTGTCTATATTCATGAATTCATTAACAGCAACAGGATGGGATTCATCTCACTCAGCTCCGGGTGTGCACAGGGTGCACAGCCCTAGCTGAGGGGTGATTTTACAGTCAACAGAGATGAACAGTCCACTTCACATGCTTCAGTTCACATACTTCAGACAACAGATGAGGACAAAAGAAACCATGTTGTGGCAGGATCTATTCCTCCCTTGACACAGGGAATGTGGGATGATCCTGGCTGCATTCATCCAACCACCACTGCGGCTTACACAGACGGTGAGCAGAGCATCTTCTCTGCACCCAGACAAATTCTTGTTCTCTCCAGGACTGCTGCTCCCCCTTTGCAACATTCCTGAATCAATCCGAAGCCAGGACACTCACTCTCCCAGCTGTGCCTTTCACAGCCCTTCAGCTCCACTGTCCCAGCACTGTACAGACCATGCACTGCAGGAAATATACCCTTAAAGAAGTATTTATACCTCTAAAGAAACCTCTCTGAGCTGATTGACTAAGCACACAATTACTCCAGCATGGAATAGGACACTTGAGAGTCTCCTTGTGAAATGTAATGTTAAGAAGATCACCAATGTAATAAACCTGACAGGTCTTTTACATAAGCAAATAACTAATTACAGTAATAACCGTGCCATCCCTGTAAGCTGCTTTCAGGCAAAGCTGGATGTGCTTGCCTTAATTTTCTAAGGAACAGAATTTCTGTAGGAAGAAGAAGAGTTTTTCTCCTCCATCAGCAGTAGAAGCTGGTGGGGTATAAAAATGGATAAACAAATCTGACAGAAAAATGTGGGCTTCAAGCCAGTTTGCAGCAGTGGGTAGAGCCTCTCCTGGATCTGACTCAAAGCAGCGTAGGCAAAACTCACACCTCCAGCAGAGTGAAATGCCAGCATCTCTCTTTGAAAAAGTTGTATTATCCTCTTCTTCCCAGTTGAGTTATGTCCAAACCCTGCTGGAAGGAGCGATCTGTCTCCCATTTCCAGCATGTATCCATTTCAATGGACTACAAGGAGATGCAAACACAGTAATTCACTTCGATTGCTCTTCCAACTTGATCTGAGCTCTCTGCTGCAGCATGACAATCTCTCCCAAGTCTCACAGCACAGGGAAAAGGGGCATAATGGTGATCTTGTGCAAGCTAAAATCTTTAGTATGAGGTACTAACCCCAGAAAAAACAGGGTGGATAGACAGGTAAGCAGAAGAGAAACTCACTGCCATTTAAAAATCACATTACTCCAAAGGTAACTGCAACTACTTTCTATTTAAGCCAAAGATACAAAACTTGATTAAAGCACTTTCTTCCCTACTAGTCTGTACCTGTTCTGATCAAAAGCCTGGCATGCAAACTGTCACCTCCTCTCAAAATACAAACCTCTCCGCATGAGATGTGTCATCTCTTGTGCTCTGTGTCACAGTGGTTTTGTGTTTTAAATGACTTTGAAACAGTCAGGTTATTCACATCTGAAAATCAGCAGTTGCTCCTCACTTCCCTGTTTCCTATGCAGCGCCAGTCTGTGGAAAGCCAGGAATTGCAGAGCAAATCTGTTTAGGCAAATGATTTAGCCCAGTTTTCACAGCCTAATGTCACTGCTGAGCCAAGTTGCTCTGGTCAACACATTAGGACTTGATCCAGAATGCAATTAGTTGACTTTCATAGAATCCCAGACTGGTTTGGGTTGAAGGGACCTTAAAGCTCATCCAGTTCCAACCCCCTGCCACGGGCAGGGACACCTTCCACTAGAGCAGGTTGCTCCAAGCCCCTGTGTCCAACATGGCCTTGGCCTTTATGCACCTTCCTACCACCAATATCTCACCAAAAGCAGCTTGGAGGGAGCAGACTGCTCTGGATCTTTTCAGCACATGGCCTTGTTTCTAGAAATGGCTGAGCTGGTTGGTTTCCATGACAGTCTTTCCTTTACATCATCTTCATTTCCCCTCCATTTTCTTGGAGGGGGATAAAAAAAGTTAATAAAGAGGGAAAAAAAACCACCATCAGAAACCCCAAAGCTTTGTTAGAGCTTTACTTCTTCACTGGAGAAATGCTGGTTCAGTAAGCCGTGACTTTGTGATAATAGTCTACTTAACCTGAGCACAAGGATGGACTGAACTACACAGTTGCCTATCTGAAGTGGGTGTTTATGCACAAGGACATACACAACTATTCCAAACCTTGGGTACCAACCAGCTACACAGAGCTGGCTCAGCATCAATGTCTCTGCAGAGCTTGGCAACGTCAAGAAGGAACCGTTCCCTCCTCACGGGTCAGAGATGATGGCTTCATTAGCACTGTCCTGCTCTGACCCATTACTGCTCAAGAGTTAGCCTGAAGCACAGTAAAAGGAGAAAGATGGTTCAGCTCAGCTTCATACTCCACAGCCACTCACATTCAGTGCAACAGGCTGCCCAGGGCAGTGCTGGAGGTACCATCCCTGGAAGTGCTCCCAAACAATGTAGATGAGGCCCTCAGTGCCATGGGTTAGTGGTGGCCTTGGCAGTGCTGGGGAACTGTTGGACCTGATGAGATCAAAGGTCTTTTCCAACCTGGTTGATCCTATGATTCTATGAGCAGGATTAGGATGTATCAAGCACATGAGGCTGCAACTGGGTCCCTTTTCTGAACAGCAGAAAAGTTTGGTCATTGAAGAAGATACAACTGTCACCCAAAAACATCTGAGGTACAGGGGCAATATGACAAAACTGCAAATGTTTGCCAAGTTCTCCCTGTTAGCACTTCCCATTGATTCATTTAGTGCTGCAAATGAATCTTCCTAAGTATTTTCATCCAGGCTGTTTGTGTCACTTTAACACATTTCAGCTACATTTTTCAGAGCTCCTTAAGATATTTGGACACATTTAAGATGAAGAAGCAATTGCATCTGGTTTATGGAATCACAGAATGGTTTGGGTTGGAAATGACCTTCAAAGCTCCTCTAGTGCGACCCCCCTGCAATGAGCAGGGACATCTTCAACTACATCAGGTTGCTCAGAACCACATCCAGCCTCGCTTTGAATGTCTCCAGATCCATCTGCTCATGATACCACAGAAGCTTTACTGAAGAAGCCAAAAAGAAAATTAACCACACCCCTTCCAAGTTCATTTCCTAGTGGAGCATCTTAAGAATGAAGCTCTGTGCTGTTCACGGCGTGGTCAGCAGAGTGCAGCACTGGCACATTGAATAACCACCCAAAGCAGTACCAAAGCTGAACAGCAAGGACAAGCTCCCCTTCTCATGCCCAATGCGCCTGTGTACCCATCTATGTTTGCAAGAGCTGCAGCAAGGCATCAGGGAAATGTCACCTTTGAGGGTCCAACATACTGTGATTACAGCAAATAAACAGCTTCGAGATCCACCAGAAGGCACAAAGAGGAATAGTGGGACCTTTTGCATTTTATAAAGGTATTCCTTTGTTACTTGAAGCCACCACTTAGCTCCTTACATACTGCAAATGTCTTGATCCCTATTGCAAAGTTAAGGGACACATCCTTTCTGATATGTCATAGGAGAGCTGTAGGGCTATGTGCAGGGATAGCTCCAGGCCACAGTGGCTGGAGTCATTCATTAGAGGTAGCACCAAGTTCTTCATTTGGCCCCCAGTTCAGACAGAGAATGTGCAAGGCTGGGAAGCAGTTACCCAGACAGAGATGCCTTTAAAAATATCACAGTTAGTAAGAAATGGGATACAGGAAAGCAGTGGCAAGTGCTTCCAGAAGGGAAACTCTGAATACTGGCAGTGCACATCCTTAAT